GCTGGTGCAGAATGACCCCTGTGTGTCTCCCAGCTGGGGTTACACTTCAGTGGGAGGGAAGTGGGTTCCCTCCTGTGTATAAAGTGCTTTGGAATCCTTTTGGCACTAAGAAACATGCTACATTAATGCAAATAATTTTAAAATTAAATCAACTTAAATTTGTAAAAAGTAGCTGTATTTCCACTTTGCTGGGTTCCTTCTGAAAGCTGAACTTCTCTAACGACTGACTGGACTGCGTCTGAAACGCTTGTCTGTTCTGCTTTCCGGACACCAGATGAAACAGAAAGCTGCTGCTTCTGTGTCTGGTCCGGGTCTGACTGCTCAGTCTGAACCGTCTGCCCGACCTGAGCCCCCAGCTGTGCGGCTGGCCAGCGTTCAGCCAACCGCGGCTGTTTGTCGGGGTTCGGTGAGCTGTACATGGGCTCCCGGTTGACCCCCCTTTCTGGAATGTGCTCTCGGAGAAGGGGCTGGCGAGACGCCGGTCTCTGGGCTATCACTGCGCGCTGGAGGATCGCTAGGGATAGCATCCTGCCTCTTCCTTTTCTTCCGCTGTCCAGGAAGCCCCCAGACTTGCAAAACCCACAGCATCTTCTGCAACATGGGCTAATCTGGGCCGATGAGCTCAGTGCCGCAGATCTGCAGCGCTTCTGAGTCCTGCTTTGTCACTGTGTGTGTGTGGGGGGGGGGGCGGTCAGATTCATTTTGTATCTCTGAAAAGGAGAAGTACCAGAAGTCTTTGCTTTTGGCTTAGAAAGTAGCTGTCTGCTGCCTTAGAGGTCCTGTGACAGGCGGTTTGATTTTAGATGTATGAATCTACATAAACCGATTTAAAATAACAAGTGACAAACACTGCTGGGAACGGGGTGTCCTGTCCTGGTCCAGGGGAATCCTGTCTCGGCTGGTTCTTCTTCCAGCTGGTTCCTTCATCGCCAGTGCTAGTTGGTGCCTGTAATTGATCTGCTTGCGAGTTCAGATTTTTGTCTTTCCTCAGTCCTTGTTTTCAAAATCGCCCTGGCTAAACAGCTCTTCACGGCCGATCGTTTGGTGCTGAACAGCACAGGTGGGAGTGACACAGTACCAGTTACGCCCACTGTGGGAGGGGCGACATTTGGGACACACCCACGTGTGGGAGTGAAATTGTTTTGGACACACCCACCATGGGAGTGGCAATGTGATCAGACACGCCCACAGCCAGTCTGTGTTTCCTTCTGTTCCAGCCCAGTTGGTTGTATATGTATTTATGTTTCGGCTCACACTGCTGAGCGAAGGCGCTCCTTCATCACACTCACGCGTTAGCACCCCAGTCATAAACTCCACTCGGCTTTCTAACAGCCGGAAGCAATTTTGTTTTCAAGAAGGCCTCAGATAGAAAGCTGTAGTCGGAGGTGCTGGGCCGCAGGGAGGGCCAGCAGACACGGGGAAACTGACTTCCTGCATCTTTCCCCGACTTCCTGGGCTGCAGACGGACGAAAGCCTCCCGGGAGACGCTGCGGATGTCCCAGCATGCCGAGCAGGGTGGGGCGAGTCCGAGCCTCCCTGCCCCCTGGCTCGTTTCCCCCATTCAGGGCCGGGAGGAAACTATTTGATTAGAGGAACAGCAACCGAATGGAATAATAAGGGAACGTGAGCCCTAGACGCACTCATGGCACGACATCTCCTCTCTCTGCGTTGGAAAGACACCAGGGTATCGGCTTTAACAGCATGGCTGGGTAGTTTGTTCCACACTCCCACCACTCTTTGTGTAAAGGAGTGTAAAGAAGTGCCTCCTTATCGCAGTTTTCCATCAGTGTCCTCTGGTTCGTGTTCAAATGTTGAGTTGATTATGGTGGATTAAACCACTGGGTTGACTCACTTTGAATCAGGTCTCAGTGTAGTCGTCTCTGTTTGGGACTAAAGAGATTCAGTTCCTGTAAAACATTCCCAGAAGCCCCAGAAAGTATCTGGATGCTCTCCAGCCCTGCACTGCGCTGTGTTTTTTCTAAGCTTTCAACATGCTTTACCGCAACCTACTTTGCATTTACCATAATATCCTCCTGATAGATTGAATGTACTGCTGTGTTAGTGTCTCCCATTTTCTGCTAGGTGTTGTGTCACAGTGGCGTTTCTGTGTCGGTGTCACAGCAGTTATAGTATCACTAGTAGATGAAGTACTGGTGTGTGCATGTGTCCTCTGTTTTGTGCTGGGGGTTGTATAGCCCTTGAATTCCCTGACACAGGAGAAACGCCTCATCCTGTTGCCCGTTTTCCCATCAGATTCCGGTACGTGAGGCTCCGGCAGCGAAAACTGCGGGATCATGCCAATGAGATGGTGGACCTGTCCAAGGTAGGACTCTCCCAGTCCAGATTCCTCTGTAATCTGGACAGCCCTGCAGACACACTGACTGGCCCTCCAGGACCAGGACTGGACAGCCCTGCAGACACACTGACCCGCCCTCCAGGACCAGGACTGGACAGCCCTGCAGACACACTGACTGTCCCTCCAGGACCAGGACTGGACAGCCCTGCAGACACACTGACTGACCCTCCAGGACCAGGACTGGACAGCCCTGCAGACACACTGACTGACCCTCCAGGACCAGGACTGGACAGCCCTGCAGACACACTGACTGACCCTCCAGGACCAGGACTGGACCCCCAGGACTAGTGCATGAGATGTGGGGGTGAGGTGGTGGAGCAACAGCTGCTGGCCCTTAATCCCCTGGGCCAGTGACTCAGTTCAGGCTGAAATGGGTGCAGTGATGTACAGGAAGGGCTCCAGGCCAGGTGGTGACTGTCCCCGGGGTCTGGGGCATCCTGCAGACAGGGGGCGCTCACGCGGCTCCCTCCTGCCCCTCCAGCTGCAGGTGATCATGTGTGACCTGAACGCCAACTGGAACAAATCCTACCGCGACCTGGAGCAGCGCATCATCGCCATGGAGAGGAAGATGGACGAGCTGGGCCAGGCCTTCCAGCACACCTCCTCCCTGCTGGCCCAAGCCGTCCAGCACAGGACCTCCAGCAACAGCTTCAAGTAGCAGACCCAGCGGGTCAGTGTCCGCACCCAAATGAACACGTGCAGGCACAGGGATTTACTGCGCTGTACTGTGCTTTCACCTGATATCACTGGGCTCTACTGCACTGTACTGTGCTTTCACCCTGATCTCACTGGACTGTACTGCACTGTACTGTGCTTTCACCCTGATCTCACTGGGATTTACTGCTCGGTACTGTGCTTTAACCCTGCTCGCACTAGGCTGTGCTGTGCTGTACTGTGCTTTTACCCCGATCTCACTGGGCTTTACTGCGTTGTAGTGTGCTGTTACCCCGATCTGACTGTGATTTACTGTACACCAGCGCCCTCTGTCTGTTTTAAATTGCAAAACCGTTTCTGGACCGGAACAGGCCACTCCCCCAGTCTGAGTTCCCTGTTTTCCCACGAGTCTTTCCTGTTATCCTTGGATCACAAAAGCCTCTAACTGGCTTCTCCTTCTTCTTACCCCCACAGGTGTCCCGTCCTCCTGGAGAGCTTCCAAAGTTCAGAATCTTCTTCTCTCAAAGCTGCACGTTGACCTCCTCACCTGTAGGGGGCATCTTTCTTCTTCCTGAAGCATCATGTGACATATCATAGCGCAGGAGAAAACTTCTGGATGCAAAAAAAGTGGGGATAAAAATATTTTTTAAAACTTTATCAATCAGAATGTACGCTGGATTTGAGTGCCTAAGTATTTGTCATTTTAACTTTTTTGTTTATTTAAATTAATTTTAAAGTCAGGTTAAATGCACATGTTCACCTCTTAAAGTCAATACAAATTTAATTGCAAGGAGGTGTGGGGGTTCAGGTCCAGTCCTGTTACACC